TGGATGCATATATATATATATATATATATATATATATATATCTTCCTATATGTCTCTCACATACATACAGATACACAAAAGAAAAATTAGTAATAAATATAATAACAAAAAGGATTTGATGCACATTAGCAGAAAATATTTTTGATAAATAAATGCAACAAAGGATTCTTATTATGAATGTATAAAGGTGTTGTGCAGCATTATCCTCTGAGCCAAACAGCCACTGTCTTCATTAATTCATCTGTGTCTGCTAGCAACAGATAGTCATAGCTGGGTGTGTTAATTGTAAACCTTTCCTCATAGAAAGAGGACACACAGGAGGTCATAGGACTCTCACTTGAGTTTTCAGCCAATCCTCTCAACCAGTTGTATGTAATTTTGTCCTGATTGTTCAGGGTCTTGGGGAGGGACTAGTGTATATAAACTGAGGTAGGTTAACAGAATGAAGCCCTATCTGTGTGACTATGTAGAAGCCATCATCCATGTGGGATAAAAGCTTTCCAGTGTGGGTACTTTTCTCTAATCAGTGACCCCTCACCCATGCTCTGTAAGTAAGCCCAATAAACTCTTTGGATTTCCAGGAAGAACTTCCACAGACTACAACTTTGGTTTGTCACCGGGGCCTTAGTAGGAATGGGAACAAAAGGACTACAAATTAACAAGAAAACAGTACAGTAAAGAAATGGAAAAAAGACATGAATAAACATTTCACAATGGAGGAAATACACACAGCCAGTGGCCTCCATATGTTATTTGAATGGCATATGGGAGTGGAATTTCTTGATAGGATTAGAAGGATTAGGAGGTGTGGCCTTCCTGGAGTAGCTGTGGTTTTATTGGAGGAAGTGTGTCACTTCCTCCAATAGTGGGCTTTGGGGTTTGAAAGGCCAGGTCCAGTGCCAGTCTTCATAGTTCTAGCTACAGATCAGGATATAGCCCTTAGCTACTGCTCCAACCCCCGCCTTCATGCTGCCATTCTCCCTGCCATGATGATAATGGACTATCCTCTGAAACTATAAGCAAGCCCCCAATTAAATGCTTTCTTTTATGAGTTCCCTTGGTCACAGTGTCTCTTCACAGCAAAAGAAAAGTGAATACAACAGCCAATATACATAAGAAGATATGGATTGAATGCAAATTAAGATTAAAATGATACATTGTTGTACTCCATTCATTATCAAATTTAAAAAATATTAGCAATATTAACGACTGGAGAGCATGTGAATCCATACAATTTGTTGAAAAGATACTGCCTTAGTCACTGTTCTACTGCTGTGAAGAGACACCATGACCAAATCAACTCTTGTAAAAGAAAGCATTTAATTGAAGCTTTTAAAAAACAGTTCAGAGGTTTAGTCCATTGTCACTCATCATGGTAAGCAGTATGGCAACACTCAGACAGATATGGTGTTGGAGAAGTAGCTGAGAGTTCTACATCTGGATCCACAGGCAGCAGGAAACCCCAAAGCCCACCCCCAGTGACACACTTCCTCCAACAAGACCACACCTACTCTAACAAGGCCACACTTCTTAATTTTTTTCAAGTAGTGGCATTCCCTGATGACCAATATATGAGCCTATGGGGACCATTCTTATTCTAACCACAATAGATATTCAACCACATTGATGATGTGGAATACAATTTAAGGCAAAAATGCATTGTTTTATGAAATAAGTATTTGTTTAAATACAGATGATAGTTACATACTGTAAAATTCCCCCATTTAAAATGAACAATCACTACTCTATAACTTGTCTTCATCCATTCAGGATGCTGTAACCCAATTTACTATAAATAAATAGCTTGTAAATGACAAATTTATTTTCCATAGTTTTGGAAGATAGAAAGTCCATGGTGAGGGTGCTGGAATATCTAGTGTCTGCAAAGATCTCTCTCTACATAGAACTTCTTTGAATCCTCACATGCTGGAAGGGCACAAACAAGCTCCATGGACCTCTTTTATAAGAAGATGACATTGAACATTTCTGTCCTACCAACTTTTTAGGTTTATGCTCATTTTCTTCTCTCTTTTTCATTACAAAGTTAATTGCAAAGCTTCTTTGAATATAGCACTGTATTGGGATGTGATCAGTGAAATCTAACTGCATTGGATTATATGTGATTGAACTTTCTTTTTTTTTTTTGAGACTGGGTCTCTCTCTATAGCCCTGGCTATCCTGAAATGTACTATGTAGACTAGGCTGGCCTTGAACTCACAGAGATCTGCCTGCCTCTGCTTTCTGAGTGCTGGGATTAAAGGTGTGTGCCACCAAACACCCGGCAAGGATCCTTCTTAACATTTCCCTGTGGCTGCAAACTTCATCTCAAGGGAAATCTTTAACTTGATTTTTAAAATCTATTTGTTAAAGTTTTAACAAATATACTTACTGGTAAAAGGTTAAATGTGTTTTTTGTTTGTTTCTGAGCAAGACAAAGATGTTTCTATAACCCACACCCAGCTTCCCTTGTATTATAACTCTTATTTGGTATACTAAGGCATCTACATATACATTATGATCTGTATAAAATATTAAAAATTTACTGGATATTGTGGCACATGCCTTTAATCATTGCACTTTGGAGGCAATGGCAAACAGATCTCTGTGAGTTTGAGGACAGTCTGGTCTACAAGTAAATCCCATGACAGTCAGAGCTATGTAGAGAGACCTTTTCTAAAACAAATATTCAAAAGTCTATAGATAATTATGAACATTAATAAACTACTCCCAATACTGCTGGCACCCATAATTTGTGTTTCTATCTAACAAAAATCACACAAAAATATAATTTTAAAACATACAATTTCACCCGGGTTGGTGGCGCGCACCTTTAATCCCAGCACTTGGGGGGCAGAGGCAGGCAGATCTCTGTGAGTTCGAGACCAGCCTGATCTACAAGAGCTAGTTCCAGGACAACCTCCAAAAAAAAAAACCAAACAAAAGAAAAACCCCATACAATTTCAGCCAGGCAATATGGTATATGCCTTTAATCCTAGCAGGCAAAGACAGGCAGATCTCTATGTGCTCAAGGATAGCCTGATCTATATAGCAAGTTCCAGGACAGCCATAGTGAGACCCTGTCTTAAAACAAAACAAAACAAACCAATCAAAGAAACAAAAATAACATTTATTGGGCTAGAGAGATGAATTAGTAATTAAGAATGCTTCCTATTCTTCCATAGGACCTGAGTTCAGTTCTTGGTACCCACATAGGATGGCTCACATGTGCTTGAAACTCCAACCCCATGGAATCCAACACTATCTTCTGTACTCTGAGGGCACATGCATACACATGCATGTATACACACACACACACACACACACACACACACACACACACACACACGCACACACACCAAAAACAAAACTCAAAATTAAAAAAAACCTCTTTATTGTGATGTCTAAAACAGTCAAATATCTAGGGATTAATGGACTACGTATGTGTCCTTCATGGAGAGAAGCATAAAACTCTACAGAATTAAAGAAGAGTTACGAATGAAGACATAATTTGTGTCCATGATTTAGAAGACTCAATTTCTTCAAGTTGTCAGATCTGAATCTGTTCTATAGATTAAATGCAATCCTTGAAAGTTTATGAAACTTACCAATTTTTTGATATGTATGGAGTTGTAATAAAACAAGAACAGCTAAAGTTGCCAGGGCATGGTGGCACATCTTTATAATACCAGCATTCAGGAGGGTAAGGCAGGAAGATTTCCATAAATTCAAGGTGAGCTTGAAATACACAGTGAGACTATCACATAGAACAAATAAAAAGAAAGGGAACTGGAGGTGTGTTTCAGTGGTTAACAGCACTTGTTACTCTTGCAGATGAGCTAGGTTCAGTTACCAGCACAAACATGGTGTCTCACAACCATCTATAACTCCCATTCCAGGGGATCTGACACCCTTTTTTGGCTTATACATATCTTCAGGAAAAACACTCAAACACATAACATAAATTTAAACAAATTTAAAATAAAAATAGAAAATAGAGGAAGAGGAGAAGGAGAAAGGGTGGAATAGATCAAATTAGCCAGAGTACTGTAGAGAAACAAAGTCGGAAAACCAACCTTCCAAACTGTAGTACCTTATGGTATGGCAATGAAAGGAGTGTGATTTAGGCATGCAAAGTGAGCCAATGAAACAGGAGAGAGAGAGGGGGGAGCCTAGAGACACATTTACACATATTCAGACACTTGATAATATGAGTGAGGTAGCTCTTTTCACAATAATAGGAGAAGGATAGTCTTATTAAGTAGTACTAGGCATACCAGGTACCCATATGAAAACAGAAACTGAGACTAATCAGGGGTGAAGCAAATACTGGATCCACACTACTGTAGTTAGAATAACTGAATACAGAGTGACTCCTCAAGCAAATATTAGCTGATATGCTTCCTGGGGCAAAGGTAAGAATGGAAAAGTACTGGATGGTAAGATGGCTGATTCAGAGCACAGGATAGGTATTCACACAGCTGTCTTTCAACATGTCCATGCCTGGTCAGCCAGCTACATTTCAAGCTAGTCATTGTTCAGAATCTGCTTTTGCTCCTTGGAATTTATTGCTTCTTGGAATTTATTGCTTCTTGGAATTTATGACAACTGTTTCTTTTTCTTTATTCCTAGAACTGCCTTTAGGTGCAGAAGTTCAGCTCAGAGTTCATGTGTGGAAAGTTGTAACTTTCAACGATATGAAATAATGAGTGGAATCATACTACAAAAAATCAGTTTCAAGCAACTTAAGGACATAAACATGAAAGGCAAAATTGGAAACTTTCAGAAAGACAGTATATTAGAATTCCTTTATGCCTTTGGTGAAGAAAAGGATTTTGTAAATACCAAAAGCAACAATTATCTCATTAAATACTTTTCATTAAAAAATATCACAGTGTGAGGCACATACCTTTAACATTAAAAAATATCACAGTGGGAGGCACATACCTTTGATCCCAGCACTCAGAGGCAGAGGCAGGTGGATTTATGAGTTCTAGGCCAGCCTTGTCATCAGAGGGAGCTCCAGTTCAACCAGGGCTACACAAAGTAACCATGCCTTGAAAATCAAATCAAATCAAAATGAAAAAAAACAAAAATAATGAAATAAAATGTAACACAAAAATAAATGACCCTGGGGCTGTCAAAACAGCTGGCCACTAGCTCTTACCTCTACCTCAGCTCAGACCAAAGGGGCCATCCTCAAACTGCTTCTGACTTCACTGCTCCTCAGATTCACTCAGACTGCTATGCTCTCCTCAACATGTCTAGAGACTCCTGAGACTGACTACTGAAGACACTGCTCCTATCTTTTATACCCCTCTAGTGCTGGGATTAAACGAGTGAGCTCTGTAACTCTCTCATAGCCTTGGGTGTCCTTGAACTCAGAGAGATCCATCTGCCTTTGTCTCCTGAGTCCTGGGATTAAAGGTGTGTGCCACCACTGCCTAACCTCTATAGTTTGATGCTGACTTTGTTTTCTGAATCCTCAGGTAAGCTTTACTAAATCATAAAAATTATATCACCACAATTCCCCTTTTTCATTTAATACAAAAAGAAGGCTACAACTAACATAAGAAAAACAATATACAATAAACACAATAAATATATACATTATATGCAGGCAACAATTTCATTAACAATGTCTAGTCCAT